TTTCTCACATTGCAGGAAGATTGTTTACTATCTGAGTAACCAGGGAAGTCCTTATGACAATATGTGGAGGATCAAACAGGAGCACTTCTCTGGCAAATTTGGGTCATCATAGAAGGGAAGTGAAAAGCAAATGAGAAAAGGAAAGATATACCCATTTGAATGCAGAGTTTCAAGGACAGATTAGAAAGCCTTCCTCCGGGATAAATGCAAAGAAATAGAGGAAAACAATAGAATGGTAAAGACTAAAGATCTCTTCAAGAAAACTAGAGATACCAAGGGAACATTTCATGCAAAGATGGGTGCAACAAAGGACAGAAATGGTAGGGACCTAACAGAAGCAGAAGATATTAAGAAAAGGTGGCAAGAATACGCAGAAGAACTGTACAAAAAAGATCTTCATGACCCAGATAATCACGATGCTGTGATCACTCACCTAGAGCCAGACATCCTGGAATATGAAATCAAGTGGGCCTTAGGAAGCATCACTACAAACAAAGCTAGTGGAGGTGTGGAATTCCAGTTGAGCTATTTCAAATCCTGAAAGATGACGCTGTGAAAGTGCTGCACTCAATATGCCAGCTAATTTGGAAAACTCAGCAGTGGTCACAGGACTGAAAAAGGTCCGTTTTCATTCCAATCCCAAAGAGAGGCAATGCCAAAGAATGCACAAACTACTGCACAGTTGAAGTCATCTCACACACTAGTAAAGTAATTCTTAAAATTCTCCAAATCAGGCTTCAAACAATACATGAGCTATGAACTTCCAGATGTTCAAGCTGGTTTTAGGAAAGGCAGAGGAACCAGAGATCAAATTGCCAACATCCGCTGGATCATCAAAAAAGCAAGAGAGTTCCAGAAAAACATTTATTTCTGCTTTGTTGACTATGCCAAAGCCTTTGACTGTGTGGATCACAATAAACTGTGGAAAATTCTGAAAGAGATGGGCATACCAGACTACCTGACCCGCCTCTTGAGAAACCCATATGCAGGTCAGGAAGCAACAGTTAGATCTGGACATGGAACAACAGACTGGTTCCAAATAGGAAAAGGAGTACATCAAGGCTGTATATCGTCACCCTGCTTATTTAACTTATATGCAGAGTACATCATGAGAAACGCTGGGCTGGAGGAAGTACAAACTGGAATCAAGATTGCTGGGAGAAGTATGAATAACCTCAGATATGCAGATGATACCACCCTTATTGCAGAAAGTGAACTAGAACTAAAGAGCCTCTTGATGAAAGTGAAAGAGGAGAGTGAAAAAGTTGGCTTAAAGCTCAACATTCAGAAAACTAGTATCATGGCATCTGGTCCCATCAGTTCATGGGAAATAGATGGGGAAACAGTGGAAACAGTAGCTGACTTTATTTTTCTGGGCTCCCAAATCACCGCAGATGGTGACTTCAGCCATGAAATTAAAAGACACCTACTCCTTGGAAGGAAAGTTATGACCAACCTGGATAGCATATTAAAAAGGAGAGACATTACTTTGTCAACAAAGGTCCATCTAGTCAAGGCTATGGTTTTTCCAATGGACATGTATGGATGTGAGAGTAGGACTACAAAGAAAGCTGGGCACCGAAGAAGTGATGCTTTTGAACTTAAGTGTTAGAGAAGACTCTTGAGAGTCCCCTGGACTGCAAGAAGATCCAACCAGTCCAGCCAAAAGGAGATCAGTCCTGGGTGTTCATTGGAAGGACTGATGTTGAAGCTGAAACTCCAATACTTTGGTCACCCGATGCGAAGAGCTGATTCATTGGAAAAGATCCTGATGCTGGGAAAGATTGAGGGCAGGAGGAGAAGGGGGTAACAGAGGATGAGATGCTTGGATGGCATCACTGACTCGATGGACATGGGTTTGGGTGGACTCCAGGAGTTGGTGATGGACAGGGAGGCCTGGCGTGCTGCAATTCATGGGGTTGCAAAGAGTCAGACATGACTGAGCGACTGAACTGAACTGAACTGAACTGAATTGTCTAGAATCTCATAGATGATGAACTTCAAATTTTCAGATCACATTTTCAATTTCTCACTGGATGAAAGACTACTTCAGCCACATTGAGGCCAGTGTATTTTTGTAACCATGACTGTGGCTGTTGCCCCATAAATGATGAAGGAGCCATCCAGGTACTTAAAAACAACACAGACTTCATGAAACTGATCTGAACAAGTAGTAATTCCTACTTCTCCCATAGAAACTGTGAGTGTAAGCTCATGCTGAAGATTAGTTATTCCACAGGAATAAGCAATAGAACTCCAGACCTGCTGTAAAATGGCAAAGGTGATAGCCCTGTCAAAAATGTTCTGCCCTCAACTCCAAGGTGTACATGCACGTGTATGTGCAGGAGGGGGTGGTTTCCCCACACCACATCAAGCAAATTGTCCAGGCCTGCTGCTTTACCATTCAACTTATTTCTGATACTGTCTGCAGGTAGCATCAGAGTCCACAGGTAAAGTGCTCACTCCCTCAAGACCATCCTTCACTTGAGACACCAACCTCAAGTCCAGGTTACCTGTGCTTCTCACCAAACTGACTATAAATCAGAAGATCCCATGACGCCCTCCTCTGGCTTGATTAGTTTGTTAGAGTAGCTCACAGAACTCAGAGAATCCATTTGCTTACTAGATAACCATTTTATTATAACAGGATAAAACTCAGGAACAATGAGGTGGATAAGGTGCACAGGGCAAGGTATGGGAAAGGGCAAAGAGCCTCCACTTGCTACCCTTCCCAAATATCTATGTATTCATCAAGCTGGGAGCTCTCTGAACCGTGTCCTTTGGATTTTTATGGATGTTTCATTACACAAGCATGATTGATTAACTCATTAGCCATTAGTGTTTGATTCAACCTCCAGCCACTCCCCTTTCCCCAGATAGCACTGGATGGGGCTGAAAGTTCTAATCCTCTGCTCATGGTTGCCTGGGGCAACCAGACCTCACCTTTAGGTACTTTCTGAAAGTCAACTCATTAATATCAATCCAGTAGTGGTAGAAAGGGGCTTGATGTGAATAACAAGATACAAATTTCAACTTTATGGACGTGATTTCAGGAACTGAGGACCACTGGTCAAATATAACAAAAGCTGCTCCCATTGTTCTTCCTGCTCAAGAAATGCCAATGATTTTAGAAGCTGTGCTAGAGTAGGGACGGAGACCAGATAGATATTTCTAATTATAAATCAGAATCTCACACTGCGCGATACTGTAAAAGGTACAGTATACATTGTGAAAGGGGTCCCCAGCCCTGTGGACGTTGTATGACAGCTGTGTAACATCTTCAAAACCTGCTTTGACAAAGCTGACCAGTCATCTGTCACTGGGTCTCAATCAAACAAATGATCTTGTTTCCACAGCTAGAGGTTGGGAAGATGAACTAGTATGGTTATTCTAATCTTCATTATTATTTCCATTTTACTCATATAAAAGAATGCTGTTCGCACAAATCCCCTAGGACAGAAAACAATAAGTGTGCATTACAAATGAAATAAGCTCACAGCTTATTTTGAATGGTTATGTGCCAGGCACTTCACTTATCACTTTCATATAAGTAATTTAACTCTTACAATCTGAGAGTGAGATGTAGGTTTTCATTATCCCTACTTTACAGCTGAAGGAAAAGATGTCTCCACAGTTAAACAAGTTTTCTGAGACCATCTACCAGAAGAGTAGCAGACTGGAAATTTCAACCTCTCTGACTCTAGAGCTCAGGTTTTAAACACCTGTGCTACTCTTTTTGAATTCAAAAACTGATCTTAGGTGCTGCTGTTAATAATTCACATGTATGTCACCACAATTCAAAAATTGCTTGGTAATATTAGGATCTACTGTTAAACTATTTGGTCAAAAAGGGCTATAGCTAGTACAATCTGATGTGGCTCTCTATTTAATTAAACAACTACCTGGCTTCATGAGGTAATCAATTACATCGGTTGAAAAATGTTTATTTGTATAATTATGGTAGTGATTTAAAAAAGAAGGATGTATGGAGGGAGAGAAGGAGGGGGAAAGGAGAGGGAAGAAGGACAGAATGAAGGAAGTGATGGAGAAAAGGAGGGAATGAGAGAGAGAAGAGGCAAGAGGAAGGAAGGGAAGAGGAAATATTAATACACTGCTGAACGCCAACCATGTGTGAATGCTAATATCCATTCTGAGTTCACTTTGTAATTTCCTTCTGTTCTGTGGATCTCTTCGCTACATAAGTCAAAACATTTCACTCCACACACCATGAGCATTATAAATTATGACTACTCATGACAGGACTGATTAATAGACATACTCGATACTCTTCCAGGAGACCGAATATTTTTTTAATACTAAGATAAAGGTTTTAAATGTCACTTTTCTCATTTCCAAGTGACTTATGTATTTGCTAAATCACCCTTCATTGCACAAAACCACTGTACCAGAAGTTTGGTGATGAAGGAAAGACACCACTGTTAATAGTTTTGTTAATCTTGACAACTTATATTTTAACACAGTTCTTTAGAATTGTTAGCATTATGTCTATAACTGATTCTAATCTAATGCTATATAACTGAAAAGATGAAGCTTTGTCCTTTTTTTTTATCCTTTTAACTTGGAGGGGGCTTCAGTCCTGTAATTTACAAGGTGGTATTTGTTAATAATGATAACCTATAAAAAACATATTACATAATAACATCAATAAACACAAATAAATCTTGTTTTGTATTAATGAGTTGGAGACACTCCAGACAATTTTTGTATTGTGCATGTCTTAATAAACTAAGAACTCCAGAGACCTCTCTGAGTTCTCTGTACTGCATTTAGGTATAATCAGTGTTCTGTCACAGAGCACACAGGTCTATATTAAGTCAAAGCAGCTTTCTCTGCAGAAATATGTCACTGTCAGTCATCAACTCAAACATGAAAATTCAAGACTAGGAAAGACTGTTTCTCTCCTTGTGGAAGATGATCTGAGAGTGGTGATGTGCTATTTGGCAGATATTACTCAATCTCCACGTTTCTTTGAGTCATACCTTGCTCATTCTGGCAGACAGCCTTCAGGATGCGATGTCCGGGGCCACACTTGCCATGGTCAGGGATACAGATCCCTTCCAACGTCAGCCACTGATAACACACAGGATCCTCACAAGGAACAGATTCCACCAAGTGAGGGCAACGGCCCGCAGGCCCCGTTGATTCCACAAGGACATGGCGCTGTCTCATTCTAAAACCTAAAACAAGAAAGAACAAAAGGTTCTGAGGATTCCATCCTGATCTAGCAAAGGAAGAGAAGCAGCAGCTGGGATATTGATGAAACTTTTATTTATACATATATAGCTCAAAAGAAGAGAAGCTAAAGGCAAGGAGCAAAGGAAAGATATTCCCATCCGAATGCAGAGTTTCAAAGAATAGTGAGGAGAGATAAGAAATCCTTCCTCAGTGATCAATGCAAAGAAATAGAAGGAAACAACAGAATAGGAAAGACTGGAGATCTCTTCAAGAAAATTAGAGATACCAAGGGAACATTTCATGCAAAGATGGGTACAATAAACGACAGAAATGGTATGGACCTAACAGAAGCAGAAGATATTAATAAGAACTGGCAAGAATACACAGAACTATACAAAAAAAGATCTTCATGACCCAGATGACCACAATGATGTAATCACTCACTGAGAGCCTGATATCCTGGAATGCGAAGTCACGTGGGCCTTAAGAAGCATCATTACGAACAAAGCTAGCAGAGGTGATAAAACTCCAGTTGAGCTATTTAAAATCCTAAAAGATGATGCTATGAAAGTGTTGCACTCAATATGCCAGCAAATTTGAACAACTCAGCAGCAGCCACAGGACTGGAAAAGGTCAGTTTTAATTCCAATCCCAAAGAAAGGCAAATGCCAAAGAATGCTCAAACTACCACGCAATTGCACTCATCTCACACGTTAGCAAAGTAATGCTCAAAATTCTCCAAGCCAGGCTTCAACAGTATGTGAACTGAGAACTTCCAGATATTCAAGCTGGATTTAGAAAAGGCAGAGGAACCAGAGATCAAATTGCCAACATCCGCTGGATCACAGAAAAAGCAACAGTTTCAGGAAAACTTCTGCTTTGTTGACTACGCCAAAGCCTTTGACTATGTGGATCAAAACAAACTGTTGAACATTCTTAAAGAGATGGGAATACCAGATTAACTTACCTGCCTCCTGAGAAATCTGTATGCAGGTCAAGAGGCAACAGTTAGAACTGGACATGGAACAACAGACTAGTTCCAAACTGGGAAAAGAGTACATCAATGCTATATATTGTCAACCTGCTTATTTACCCTTATATGCAGAGTACATCATGCGAAATGCTGGACTGAATGAAGCACAAGCTGGAATCAAGATTGCCAGAAGAAATATCAATAACCTCAGATATGAAGACAATACCACCCTTATGGCAGAAAGCAAAGAGGACCTGAAGAGCCTCTTGATGAAAGTGAAAGAGAGTGAGAAAGCTGGCATAAAACTCAACATTCAAAAACCTAAGATCATGGCATCCAGTCCCATCACCTCATTGTAAATAGATGGGGAAACAATACAAACAGTGACAGATTTTATTTTCTTGGACTCCAAAATCACCGCACATGGTGACTGAAGCCATGAAATTAAAAGACACTTGCTCCTTGGAGGAAAAGCTATGACCAACCTAGATAGCATCAAAAAGCAGAGACCTTACTTTGCCAACAAAGGTCTGTCTGGTCAAAGCTGTGGTTTTCCCAGTGGTCATGTATGGATGTGAGAGTTGGACCATAAAGAAAGCTGAACACCAAAGAACTGATGCTTTTGAACTGTGGCACTGGAGAAGACTGTTGAGAGTCCCTTGGACTGCAGGGAGATCAAACAAATCAACCCTAAAGGAAATTGGTCCTGAATATTCATTGAAATGACATCACTGACTCAAGGGACATGAGTCTGAGCAAGCTCCACGAGTTGGTGATGGACAGGGAAGCCTGGCATGCTACAGGCCATGGGGTCACAGAGTCAGACATGACTGCGTGACTGAACTTAACTGAACTGATTCATTGGAAGGACTGATGCTGAAGCCCCAATACTTTGGCCACCTGATGCAAAGAACTGACTCATTGGAAAAGATCCTGATGCTGGGAAAGAATGAAGGCAGCAAGAGAAGGGGACAACAGAGGATGAGATGGTTGGATGGCACCACCAACTCAATGGACATGAGTTTAAGCAAGCTCCAGGAGTTAGTGATAGACAGGGAAGCCTGGCGTGCTGCAGTCCATGGGGTGGCAAAAAGTTGGACATGAATAATCGACTGAACTGACTGAAAGATCAAAACCACAATTCTTTGAATGTGTTTTATTTTATGGGAAATTGGGAGATAAGGGGAAGAACAAAAGACAGAAGGGGAAAGAACTAGAGGAGGAAATCTGTCTTCCAAGAGTTTACAGTCTAGGAGTTGAAGAGGCCAGGCATAATCAAATGCACTAATAAATAGCATGTGTTCAAGGGTATCAGTTGTTGCTGCTGCTGAGTCACTTCAGTTATGTCCAACTCTGTGCAACCCGATAGATGTCAGCCCACCAGGCTCCCCCTTCCCTGGGATTCTCCAGGCAAGAACACTGGAGTGGGTTGCCATTTCCTTCTCCAATGCATGAAAGTGAAAAGTGAAAGTGAAGTTGCTCAGTTGCATCCAACTCTTAGCAACCCCATGGACCGCAGCCTACCAGGCTCCTCCATCCATCGTATTTTCCAGGCAAGAGTACTGGAGTGGGTTGCCATTGCCTTCTCCGAAGGGTATCAGTAAACCAGTACAAATAAATGAAGACTCACAGACTACTGATACCTGGGTGGGGAAGATCCCCCAGAGAAGGAAGTGACAACCCACTCCAGTATTCTTGCCTGGGAAATCCTATGGACAAAGGAGCCAGGCAGGCTACAGTCCATGGGGTCACACAGGAGTTGGACATGACTTGGTGACTAAACAATGAAAACAACAGAGAAATAGCCTGAACATAGATAAACCCCATGTTCTTTTGCTGTTGTTTTTCACATTCTTATTAGTCTGTATGAAGGTAAAATACATCTACATTTTGACACATTCCTGGTCACTGTGTCAGGCCTTGAGAGTTCCCTGTATCACTCTCTTGAGATTTCCAGGTCAGCCTGCCCTGTGAAGGCAGGACAGTTTGGGGCTGCATGCCCCACCCTGGCTAGACATAGGTCTCTGGACAAATACTCAGTTTTTCAAAAATGTATTGTTGCACTAGGGACCAAAGTTATGCCATAATAAGGATGTGAATGGACCTTCCATGCTACAAGACTACAGAGTCACAAACTCATCAGATACAAATGGAGGGATATGGATCAACCACAAGACTGTAGGGAGTGGTGAGGTCTGTGGCAAAATGGAGGACATGTGCTGAATTTAAAGCGTACAGATATCATTCAGGATTCACTGACAGTTACCACAAGGAAATGTGAGCCATCTGTTGTCAAATCTTTGGATTCTAAGAAGCCAGAATCCAAGCTATCTGCAGTTTTTATATGAAATCTATTTTTAAATGATGGAAACAAATCTATGTTTTTAAAAGCCACATAAGTTTTAAAATGTGACAGAGAACAAAATGCAACCCTTTTGCTTTTGAGTTTTCCATTTCTGGCCTTCAGGATACATCACTTCTAAAAGTTAGGCCTGGGACTTCCCTGGTGGTCCAGTGGCTAAGACCCCACAATCCCAAGGCAAGGGGCCAAGATTCCATCAGTGGTCAGGGAACTAGATCCCACATGCTGCAACTAAAGAGGGTTTCCCAGGTGACCGAGGGGTAAAGAATCCACCTACCAATATAGGAGAAACAAGAGACATGGATTCAGTCCCTGGGTCGGATAGATCCCCTGGAGAAGGAAGTGGCAATCCACTCCAGTATTCTTGCCTGAAAAGTCCTATGGACAGAGGAGCCTGGTGGGCCACCGTCCATAAGGCTGCAATGAGTCCAACACGATTTAGTGATTGAACTCACACACACACGTCAACTGAAAGATCCCACATACTGCAACTAAATATCCAGTGTGACACAACAAAGAGCAAAGATCCCACGTGCTACAACTAAGACTGGCACAGCCAATAAATACATAAATATATCTTTAAAAAAAAAGAGCTAGGCTTACCTCCCATGAATCTCATATTTTACTGTCCACTGTTTCATTCTCCAAATTCAATCAACAGATTTAATTCCTCTTTCAAAAAAATGAAACCAAATCTTATTACATAATAGCATCTTGAGATGTGATTATTCAATTAATCCTTGGGATAGGTAAAAATATAAAAAGATAGACAGGTAGGCAGATAGACTTAGCCAGGAAGATAGAATGCCTGAGAACACTGAACTTAGAGCCGAAGACTATGATACCTCACAACACTGCCCAAAAGGGGAGAAAGACAAGTTCGGGTGCATGAGCGGTAACTAGCCAGGTGTACATCTGTCAGTTACCAGGGCTGCGTCTATTTTCCCACAAGAAAGGATAGAAAGCTCGCGGTGTAGTTGGCAAAAGACTGGCTCCTGTAAAGTGGTCAAGGAGGGTGGAACAAATGGACACATGTTTTCAGGCCACAAGAGGGAGCCGAGCTCCCTTAGAATACTGCAGGGTTGGGTAAGTGTTTTAGAGGCACAGTCCTAAGGGTTTTATTTGTTTTGTCTAGGGCTAACCCATGAGCCCCCTTTAAAAGAGACTCTTAGATTCTTACTTTGTGGAATGGCCAACTGTGGGGAGGCATCATTCAATCAGAGACCATATCCTGCAGGCATGGGCAGTATTAAGGTCACAGGTAATTAAAGCAGTAGATGGCTTCTACCACACTTCATACCTCCAAGTCTATGTCATTCATTAGTCGGAATAAAACCTGCAGAAGAGTTCAGCTCCCTTCCCAGGCCACCTTGAGAAGAGCGGCAGGAAACATACAGGACTGAACTCTACTTGATGGACATCAACCTACAGTGACCTCTGAGCTCTCCCTGCCACACGACTTGGATGACCTCTGTTCTTTCATGTAAGAACCACATGCTGCTTATTTATTGCCTTATGCCCGTGCTTGTTTTAAGTTTATATCTTTGAGCAGGACCTGGCCTGGGTCTCCATGATTTATGATGTTTGACAACCGGCTCAGAAACGTAGCCTTCTTTACAGAAGGAGGCTGGCTGTCCTATTACCCAGAGCTCAACGCCATTGAGGGG